TTTTTTTTTTTAGAATCAATTTTATATTCTTTATCTTCCCAGAGAAAAACCATTTGAATTACAGAGAGAAAAAACTTAACACGAAACAATAATATACAGGCAGATGTAAAATTCAGAATGGAGGAAGCCAAGCTTTTTTCTTTTTATGTTTTCTTTAGAAACAGGTTCGTACTGAGTTGCTTAGGACCCTGCTAAATTGCTGAGGCTGACTTTGCAATCGCAATCCTCCTGTCAAAGCCTCAGTTGCCACTGGAATTAGTTGTGCACCACAGCGCCTGGCTGCCAGCAGCTCTTTTTCATCTCACTAAGAATCCTTGTTTTTCAAACTTCCAAGGTCACCTTGCTTTCCCTGTACGCTCCTGTTCTTCCTTGCACTGCACCACTTCTTGCACCTCTAATGTCCTCTTTGGGAATCAGGATTTTGAAAAGACAAAAGCTAGAAAGTTGCAAGGTTTCTTTTACTTCCTCCTTTTTGGGAATGAGGTTACAAAAAGCCGAATGAAAGAAAGTGAAATGGAGGGCATATGAAAAATTTTAGGAAAAATTTCCAAACCAATTGCCTTTTTTTTTTTTTCATGCTACAGGGTCCAACTGACATGGGTTTGTTAGATCCACTTTGTGGGTCAAATTAGTATTTAAAAACTAAAGTAAAAACAGTAATATAGAACCATAAAAATTATTTATTGTTTTGTTACAGTATACAAAGACTTCTTTCAATATAGTCTTCCTTTTTAAAGTCAATAAATGAGAAGAATTAGACAAAATTTCAGAAAAACTACTTTATCAAACTCTTGATACTATGCTATCTGAAACTCATAAGACATTAAGTTTAAAAATGGTATTTTTCATTGTCCAACTTCATATCTGCACTTCTATTATCTCTATAAATCAAATGGATTTAGGTAGCACAAGCTCTCTCTCTCTCTCTCCACACACACACACACACACACACACACACCACACACACACACACTCATTTATACATTTACAATCTGCATATGCTTCCTGGACCCAATGTAAAGTGGATTTTTTGTGTGGATCTCTGTTAAAGAAATGTTTAGAAGGCACCGAGCTAGCCTGGAGACCCTCTGTGACATCATGGGAAATCTTTTTTTAACTGAAGCCATTGTTTAGTGTTTTTCTTTGTCAGGAACTTATTCTTGCATTGTGACTTGAGGTGTGTGAGGTGAGACTTGAGGTGTCTGACTTGAGATGAGGTCTCTGTGACCTTGAGCAAGCTATTTCACAGTCTTGAACTTTCCTGGTAGGGTGGAGAGCAAAGTTTTGCCAGATTTTGTGAAGATGAAACGTAATTCACGTAACTCACCAGACATGATGCATCCCACACGGCAGGCAGACCCTTGGTACTGAAGGGGACCCCTGCCTCCCTAGCCCCCTCCCTCTACTCATTGGAAAACACCTACTGAGCGCCAATGGGATGCAGGGGTTTACAACTTTCTTGTTTCCTGTAGCTCCACTGCCACTGGCTTATTTTGGGCTTCTGTATCTCACCTAGATAAAGTCAATAGACTTCTAACATGTCTCTGGTTGCAGTCTGCTTCCTTTCTTCATCTGCTGTGATCATTCTAAATTAAAAACAAGATCATACCACTCTTCTGCGACTGTGGGAAAACAGAGCATAACACAGCATTCACCTTTCCCAGCAGTTCCCAAGTGTGCAGTGTGCACTGGCCAAGCCCAGTGTTGTGCAATAAGTCCCCTGTCCCCACTCCTGTGTGCCTGCATGTCTACACATGTCAAAGAACAACTGCCCCCAACTCATTTTGTCACTTTTGCTTAATACATTGCAACATCTCTGCTTTGCCTTTTTCCCTTAAATACCTGAAAATGAAAGACTGGTATCTCTAGGACTGGTTATTACTTCTCTCTTCACTCTTACCTCTCACTATTGCCCATCTTGCTCTCACGACCACCACCACACTCGACTACCCTCAGTCCCCCAAGTGTGTCTTTCTCTTTATTCTCTCTGTACCCTTTGCCTAGAACCCTCTTTGTACTCATCTTTTGCTGTTAGCATGAGGGTCACTTTCTTAAGAAACTTTCCCTGACTCCGTTGCCTGGTGCAGCTGTGTCTATGTATTAAAAATGCTTATGCCTACAAATGGTGGGAAAACTCAAATAAAAGTAGTTTAAACAAATAGAGGTTTGCTCTTCTTACCCAGCAAGAATGGTGGATGCAGGGTTTTGCTGGTTTGGTTCAGGAAGCCAATTGTACAAAATGTTTTGTTCTGTACACTTTAGAATTCATTGAATTTAGGATTCTTAGCTCCTCTCTCATGATGGCTGCAGCTTATCTAAGCATCTGTTTCTTTCACCACATAGAAAAAAGCAAGAGTAGAACACAGCTAACAGGTGAAAAGGTCTTTTCAAAAGTACACAGAAGACTTCCACCTTTGTCACATTGGCCAACACAATATTCTGTGCTTCCCTCTAATGCAGGACCTAGGGCCACCTTCCCAGGGATGAAGACATCTGATACAGGGAAACAGGGAGCCGGTTCTCAGGTAGACAACAGAGATCTATTTACAGTTCTGACTAGCTTTTTGCTTAGCAAACCATCCGTCTCTAGCTTAGCCCTATCCAGTTCTCTCCTCTGTAACTGTCTGTGTAGTCAGACTTCAAGGTGATCCACGATGATCCCCAGCTCTTGATATCCATGCTCTTGCATAGTCTCCTTCAACACTGTGTTAGAATCAATCTGTGTGGATAATACAGGGAAACCGAAATGGTGGTATGTGACTTCCCAGATTAGGTCATAAAGACACCGTGGCTAAGCCTTGTTATCTTGAAGTGTCTCCTCTTGGGGAAGCCAGCCACCATGTTGGATATGCAGGCAGCCTTGTAGAGAAACCCTTGTGGCGAGAAGCTGAGACCTCACACCAGCAGCCAGCGAGGAACAGACACTGCCCTCCAGCAGCCACCTGAATGCACCATCATGGATGTGAATTTTCAAGCCTCAATCAAGCAGTCAGACCAGTTCAGTTCCTGCTGAGCACCTTGCTGCAGCCTCATGAGTGATTCTGAACCAGAATCACCCAATTAAGATATTCTTAAATTTTTTTACCTTTATGAACAGCGATATAATGTTTATTGTTTAATCTCTAAGTTTGGAGGTTATTTGTTATTCAGCAATAGATAACAAATACACTATCTGCCTCAGTGAGCTGTTTCTTCAGGCAAAAGAACAAAAGCACAGCAACAAACATAGCAACCTTTATGCAATAGATGGAATGGAAAGAAATAGTTTTCTTTAGTTCTTAATTCATTATATACAGGAAAGAGAAATCTTGCATGGTTCCAGTGATCAATTTTATTTTTATAGAGTCATGAGTGATTTAGGATAGGGCCCAGCATGCAACTGTGCTAATATCACTCCTTTGTTTAAAACTCTTCATGAGCTTCCTTCCGATTGCATTCAGAAGTATTTTGCACTTCTTGCAGTTAATTAACAAACAAATGGGAGTCCCTTAATTAATTGAAGGAAAAATGGATGCATAATCTAGAGATGCCTGGAAAAGACATTTGCATCAGGCTTTGAAAGATAAACAGGCACTGAAACTCAACTCTTAGCTAAGAAATAAAGGTCAAGGGAACAAGCAGCTTTTGACCATTGCTTGATGTTCCCTCCATCAGTGTTTTCTGGGTCATTGCTCAGCTGCCTCATTCAGGATTCACTTCCGCACAGAAGAGATCCTT